ATAGTGCCACACACATCACAAGACACTCTCGCTTATCAAACAATTCACTTAAAGACCTAGTCATAGAAAGGAAACGAGTGATGAGTGCCTGTATTAATCAGTATTTCCAATTTTGAGGACAAATGTCATTATTTATTAAAATTTAACTTTATATATTCTATGACTCCACTTATCCATATTCAGCCTGGCCAATTACTGGCATGTATATATAAGAAGGATCGTAGGGGCCAGCAGATGGCGTAGCAGTTACATCACTGGATTCACCGGGTACATGTCCTTACATGCCAAGATCCTGGGAGGAAAATGGAGGAAAAAGGATTGCAAGGGAGAGGGAGGGTTGCCATCACCCTGAGGGTGATTTCTCACTTTCCCTCTCAATGTTTCGGTCTTTTCTGTTTCTGCTCTCTGGTAGGTACACATGCCCTAAGGCAAAAACCTCTACAAAAAAAAAAAAAAAAAAAAAGAAAGCTTGTAAAGAAGGCTCAATTATAACCTGAAAATAATAAAAAGTTGAAAACAACCTCACTATTCATTAACTGAATAATGACTAAATAAACTTTGTGATTCCCCATGGGATAGTACTGATAGTAGGAGAGATCATTTAATTACCACTGACAAGAACTCCCTCCATGACTAAACTATAATCAGACTTCTTTGATCCCTCTTCTGATTAGAGCTCTTCTTGGCCTACAGATCCGAGTTTTAAAAATAATCCTTCTGGGGGAAAAAAAAAAAAAATGGGACAAGCAGATGGCGTAATGGCTATGTCACTGGACCCCCATGTAGTTGACCACGGTTTAAGTCTTGGACCTGGTGGCTTAAACTCACGCTGGGCACATGTGCATGCATGCCCAATCCCAAGAGAATAGAGGAGAAGGGATTGCGGCGTGGTCGTCCTCCCTAGGGGGTGATTTCTCACTCTCTGTCTCTCTGTCTCTATCTTTCTACCACGCACACGCACCCTTATAGCAAAAACCTCTCCAAAAAATAAATAATAAAAAGAATCCTGCTGGGGCCAGCCGGTGCTGTGGTGGTGAAGGTGAAAGACTCGTACATGGCGACATGGTTCAAGTTCCAGCCCAGGCAGCTTAGGGATTATGTCGAGCATGTGAGCCTGTGTGCCCAAAATCCTGAGAAGAGAATGGAAGAGGATTGTGGCATGGCCATCCCCCTTCAGGGGTGATTTCTCACTTTCCTTCTCTATGTCTCTCTCCAGCCAGCACACATGTTCTATGGCAAAAACCTAAGAAAAAAAGAATACTGTTAACCTAGTTTATTGAAAATCCCCCCCACGTGTCTGAAACCAGCAGTTAGCATAATGGCTATGTCGCTGGACTCCCACGTAGTCAACCGCAGTTTGCATTCCGGACCCAGTGGCTTAAAACTTAAGCCAGGTGCGTGTGCGTGTGTGCCCAAGATCCCGAGAGGAGAATGGAGGAGAAGGGATTGCGGCGTGGCCATCCCCCCTGGGGGGTGATTTCTCGCTTTCTGTCTCTCTGTCTCTCTCTGTCTGTCTGGCGAGTACACGCACCCTATAGCGAAAACCTCTCAAAAAAAAAAAAAGATCCCTCCACTCTTTTAGTTTTTAATAATTAATCAGGCTCCCTTTTCCTCCAAGGAAGACTTTATTGAAGACTATCTATCTATTTATTTATTTATTTATAAAATTATTTAAGTTTTGCTATAGGGCAAATGTGCTCACTAGAGAGAAAAAGAGAAAGTGAAAAGCCACCAGGTCCGGGACTTGAACAAGGGTCAGTCATATGGGAGTCTAGTGTCTTAACCACCATGCCACCTGAAGATTATTTTAATAGGAATAAGACTTGCAACAGGGGAGAGATATTAAACTTAACTCCAAGTACAACAAAGACAAGTGGAGAGTCATAGGAAATTACTAACGGGAATTTGGTTGGGTATCAAACAGAAAAGGGGACTTGATTCTTTACTAAAACTGGGCTCAGTAGGCCAAGGTCAAAGCCTAATCAAAAATAGGACTCTTGTGGGCCAGCAGATGACGTAGCACTTACATCATTGGACACCCACATGGCCAACTGTGGTATGAGTTCCAGATCTGGTGGCTTGAAACTCACACTAGGCATGTGTACGTTCATGTCCAAGATCCCAGAAGGAGAATGGAGAAGGGATTGCAGAGTGGCCATCCCCACTCAGGGGTGATTTCTCACTTTCCCTCTTATTGTCTCTGTCTGTCTGTCTCTCTCCAGGCAGCACATGCACCCTAAGATGAAAACCTCTTTAAAAAAAAAAAAAAAAAAAAGACTCTTGGAAGAACCTCACATGTATGGTCAAGAAGGGATTCTCAGGATCAGCAGTTAGCGTAATGGCTATGTCGCTGGACTCCCATGTAGTCAACTGTGGTTTGAGTCTCGGACTTAAAACTCATGCCGGGCACTTGTGCGTGCGTGCCCAGGATCCCGAGAGAAGAATGGAGGAGAAGCGATTGTGGCATGGCCATTCCTCCTGGGGGAGTGATTTCTCACTTTCTGTCTCTCTGTCTCTCTCTGTCTTTCTGGCGAGCGCACGGGCCCTATAGCAAAAACCTCTCAAAAAAAAAAAGGGGGATTCCTGTCACTGCAAAGAAAATAACCTCCAGGCTATTAAATGGGCTTAAATAAAAAGAAAGTTGCCGAATTATATAAATAGTGTAACAGTATGACACATTTAAATATATTTCTCTTTTCTCCCTTTTTTTTTTTAAAGAATCACATATTTATTTTATTTTATTTATATTATTATTTTTTAATTTGACCAGCGAGGGACAGAGAGAGAAAGGGAAAGTGAGAAAGCAAGCTGCCAGGTCTAGGATGCAAACCACAGTAACCCATATGGGATGGGAGTCCAGCGCCTTAATGACCGTGCCGCCTGCTGGCCTCTTTCTTTTTTCTTTTTTAAAATAATTATTTATTTAATTTTATTATTATTATTTTAAAATTTGACCAGAGTAAGAAAGCAAGCTGCCAGATCCGGACTCAAACCACAGGTGGCCATGTGGGATTCCAGCACCTCAACCACCACATCACCTGCTGGCTCTTTCTCTTTTTTTAATCTATTTAATTTTTTAAAATCAAAAGTCTCACTATGTTGCCCAGACTGGCTTCCAATTTTGACCCTTCTACCTAAGCCTCTCGAGTAGTTGGAACTTTAGGTACATACCACCTCACCTGGCTTTAACTTAAATATTTTAACTCACAAAGCAATGATATATTTTCCTTCACATAGCATGCATGTATATAGGTGCATTAAAAGGGGGGAAAAAAAAAAGGAGAAAAAGGTATACATGAAAGAGAATACTACGGGCCAGCTAGTGTCATGATGATTACTGCAGCTAGTTCCCACATGACCCACTTTGCAGTTCTGGTCCTGGACTCAGCAGCTTGAAAAACACACCGACACATGTGTGTACCCCAAAATCCTAAAATGAGATTGCAGTATGGCCATCTTCATGGGGTAGGGGATGCTTTCTCAGTACCTCCCCTCCCTCTGGGGAGCACACATGCACTTGAGCAAAATAAAAAAAAATTTTTTTAATTAAAAAAATAACTGACATTGGTTACCCCAAAGAAAGGAACTGGAATTGGAAATGTTATCAAAGACAACTTTACAGTGTTTTGATTTACAATGTTTTACATTTCTACAGGAACAAATAGTTCCTATATAATATGTAATCAAGCAACCATTCTGTTTTGTTTTGTTTTCAGAGATTTTTTGCTATAGGACACGTGTACTCACAGGAGAGACAGAAAGAGAGAAATCACTTGGGGGGGGTAGGGGTGGAGGGTGGCTACACCCAATCCCTTCTCCTTCAGTCTCCTTTCAGGATTTTGTGCACCAGTCCACATATATCTGGCATGAGTTTCAAGCCGCCAGGAACCACAGTCAACTACGTGGGAGTCCAGCCACCTAACCATTACGCCATCTGCTGGCCTCTAAACAACAGTTTTTAAATGGCAACTTTTCTGTCCTTTAATAATCTTACACATCTGGTCTGATCCACTTGCATTTCACAGAAATAAAACACCAAGTGGTACAATCTTTTGGCCATCCTTGCTGACAAGACAAGCAGAATCCTTTCACTATTAGTACTAGCGCTCTACTCATTGTCCAGCTTAACTCCATGGTCTTAACAACAAAATACTCACTGATGGAAGGAGTGAGGATCATCCACATCGTGACCATCTGGGGCCAAAGGGTTGGAGAACGGCTCGCCTAACAAAAAGTATTTACATTAATTTAACCAATCTTTTACATGTCAGATCCTACACAAAAAGTGGGCATGCAGCAGTGAAGAATATAGAAGAAAGATAAAAGGAGTAGCAGCAACAATACGATATAATAAGCGCTAAAACGAGAAAACAAGGAGCTTTGGGAGCACAGAGAAAGGGCCCCTAGGAATGTGCAGCAGTATCTGCAGACTTCCCAAAAACCACATCTAAAATATTATGTGAGAGATGAGTCGGTGTAACCAAGGATTACGTAAGGGAACCGAAGGGTCCACCAACAAAAGCCACCTGTTGTCACTTGGGCAGAAACGAGGCTTGGGGAGAGTGTGGGGATGTTGGTCTCACTGAGGGCCTAACGGCTTCGCCAGGCTTCAAGCGTCTCACCCACACACACTCCACTGAAGCGCAAATAACGCGCCTAGTACCCCTAGTCCCGCAGAGGAAATGGGGAAGATATTTCCAGACTTACTATCTCGCTCCGGCATTTTGTCCGCGGTCTCTGAACACCAGCAGCAAGGGCTTATTTTCCAACAACAACAGAGCGGCGACAAGCCTTCTCCCACAGTGCACCTCAGAAACCAACCCACAGTGCTCTGCGTTCTGACCTTTCCGCTTCCTACCCCGCCCACCTTTCCTACACTGAGCGCAGAGATAGTGGAAGGGGCCCGCAACTGCTGTCATTGGATAAATCTTATCCCGCCCTCTTACGTCATCTAATACGACCGACGAGGATAGATTGCTATTGGTCCGCCTGAAGAATTAGGCCAGAAGGCCTGGGATAGGGGACTGCTTTACTAGCAAAGATGGCGGCGGCTGCGGCAAGTCGTGGGGTCGCGGCTGCAAAGCTCGGCTTGCGTGAGATTCGCATCCACTTATGCCAGCGCTCGCCAGGCAGCCAGGGCGTGAGGTGAGACGCGGTGTGGGGAGGCAGGCGGGCTTTGGGATGCCGGGGTCACGACCTCGACCTCCCGGGTGATTGGGATAGCCGGCGCCCACAGCATGCGCGGCGCTCTTTCCGGCCCCGCAGGGACTTCATCGAGAAACGCTATGTAGAGCTGAAGAAGGCGAACCCCGACCTGCCTATCCTAATCCGCGAATGCTCAGATGTGCAGCCCAAACTCTGGGCTCGCTACGGTGAGCGCGGGACGCTGGGAGTATGGAACGTTGGTGGGAGAACAAGAGTTCGAGGGTAGGGGCCTACCAAAGAAAGTCACGCAAACCTTGTTGACCTTGAACACATTTATATTCGTAAGTTCATATCCTGCTTTGTATCTCGGACAGCATCTTTACGGAGGCTCTCCTAATGTTGTGTAGGGACCAAGAATTGTCATTTTTTATAGTTAACTTTGGGCTTTGGATAGGAAAGAGATACTAGTCAATATCTGAGTTAGGTCCTCCCAGTGCCAGCCCTAGTAATGTATGAGAATCTCATTAATGTTGAGGACTAAATGTTAGGCCCTGTGTTCTTTCCTGCCTAAATCTCATTTAATCTTCATTAATCATATTAGGAGTGAATTCTTTTTTAAAAAATTATTTTATTTTAATTATTTCGTTTTAATTTTTTTGAAGGTGACCAGAGAGAGAGAGAGAGAAGGAAAGTGAGAAAGCAAGCTGCCAGGTCCAGGACTTGAACCACAGTGAGCCATGTGGGCTGCCTTAACCACCACACCACTTGCCAGCCCCTGGGAGTGAATTCTTTATTCTCACTATTGAGATTATAAATCAAAACTTCATGCAATATAGTTAAAGTTATGCTGCTAGAAGAAGGTTGAACTTTATATTTTTCCCCTTTCCTAGAATGTACCTTCCCCAGACTGCCATGGGGATGTGAATTCATATATTATTCCTTCAAAAAGGCATTCTTTTTTTCTTTCTTTATTTTTTGGAGAGATTTTTGCTATAGGGCACGTGCGCTCACCAGAGACAGAAAGCAAGAAATCACCCCCTGGGGGAGGATGGCCACACTGCAATCCCTTCTCCTCCATTCTCCTCTCGGGATCTTGGGGCGCGCGCTCGTGCGCCTGGCACGAGTCCAGGGTCCAGGACTCGAACCGTGGTCAACTACATGGGAGCCCAGCGACATAGCCATTATGCCAACTGCTGGTCCCCAAAAAGGCATTTTCTAACCAGCTATATAGAACTGCCTCTAGCCCATTTTTACCGTATTACCCTATTCCAATTTATTGCATTCTGAACATTTATGTTGCCTAACAGTGAATAGTGAAGTTTTGTTTTTTAAATCACTGTAGGGCATGCATGCTCTCCAGAGAGAAAAGGAAAATAAAAAATCACATCACTATCACCCCAGGCTTGATGGCACGAGTCCAGGGTCCGGGACACGAACCGCGGTCGACTACGTGGGAGTCCAGCGACATAGCCATTATGCCAACTGCTGGTCCCCAAAAAGGCATTTTCTAACAAGCTATATAGAACTGCCTCTAGCCCATTTTTACCGTATTACCCTATTCCAATTTATTGCATTCTGAACATTTATGTTGCCTAACAGTGAATAGTGAAGTTTTGTTTTTTAAATCACTGTAGGGCATGCATGCTCTCCAGAGAGAAAAGGAAAATAAAAAATCACATCACTATCACCCCACTCTGTGGGTGGGGGACTCACCACTATCCCCTCTTCTATTCTGCTCTGGGGATTTTGGACATAAATGCACACACACTGGGTATGTTTTTCAAACTGCCAGGTCCAGGACTTGAAACATGCACTCAGCCATATGGGATCCAGTTGCCTTAGCCACTGCCACTGGCTAATAGTGGGATTTTAATCATGCCTTTAACTACACTGTGCCCTTGGAATGTCTGGAGGTGGAATTAAGAGTAACAGCTAAGGGACCAGCAGTTTGCCTAATGGCTATGTCGCTGGACTGCCATGTAGTTGACCACAGTTTGAGTCCTGGGCCCGGTGGCTTGCGTGCCCAAGATCCTGAGTGCCTGCGTGCCCAAGATCCTGAGAGGAGAATGGAGGAGAAGGGATTGTGGCGTGGCCATCCCCCCTGGGGGTGATTTTTCACTTTCTGTCTCTCTCTCTCTCTCTCTCTCTCTCTTTCTGGCGAGTGCACGCACCCTATAGCAAAAACTTCTCCAAAGGGAAAAAAAAAGTCACAGCTAAGGCAGACTGGTTCCAGCTGACATTTGTACAACAGCGTCCTATGCACTAATGATTGTTTAGAGAGAAAAAGGTTCTTCCTAGTCAGTAGACTATAAAGGAAGACCGGCAGAACTTCAGTGTACTGTGCTCAATCTTATAAGTGCACCATGGATCCCAGAGAATGGACACTCAGCCAAGGCTAACCCCATGTAATAAATACTCCACTCATAGTAATTAGTAATAAATGCCTCTAAAAGCCTTCCTGAAATACTTTCCTTCTCATTGTGGCAACTCAAAAATCAGCATAAACTAGTTGTACTTGAACTCCTACATGTGTTTGATAAACACTGGATTAGTTCTAGGTATACCTTGTCTTCTTTGGTCATATCTCTTTACTATCCTTCCCATCCTAACAAGACTGTAAAATAAAGACCTTTTACTATACTTTGGTTGCCTTCACAGTACAAAGTCAACTCTAAGTCACCTCTCTCCCTCTCTCCTCAGCATTTGGCCAAGAGAAGAACATCACTTTGAACAACCTCAGTGCTGATCAGGTAACAAGAGCACTGGAGAATGTGCTAAGTGGCAAAGCCTGAAGCCTAAATTGAGGATTAGAGCACAACCCCAGAACCTGGGCTCTGCTAAACTAAGTACAGTGTAGAAAATTATGTTCTCCTGTTCCTTATAAAATCTGCTGTAAAACACTGTCTCTGGGTGTTCTTGTTCTCATTTTGTTTTTCTATACCTTATTTTACAACCAGTGAGGCATGTAGTTGAATATAAAAATAAAAGTTTTATTCTGTTTCATCAAAAGCCACCATCTGCTGAAACAATAACAACAGGAACTGGGGTCAAAATGTCTTGACCTAAGGGGGAGCAGAGACCATGAGACCTCATTTTGGTCTTAAATTTCCAAAGGCTCCTCTCTCTCTCTCTCTCTCTCTAAATGTGCGTGCACTCACCAGAGAAACACACAGAGGAGGGAGCAATCCCCCTGTAGAGAATGCTCATTCTGCAGCTGCAGTTCCTTCTCCATCTCTCCCTCCTTTCAGGATTTTAAGGAAACATGCCCAGTTTGTTCCTCTAGCCACCAAGTCTGGGACTCGCAACATGTACTCAGCCAGGTGGTATCTGGCTACCTTAACCATCAGGCCACACCGCTGGCCCTCACTCTCTTAAGAGAAAGTGGACAAAGAAGCTGAATGGGGGGTGGCAGTGAAGGACTGAGGTGCCATGAAGGTCATCCGTGAAGAGCTGTCTGCCGGAGAGCATGTGCACGATCCTGGAGCTGGGCCTCTTCCTGATGTCTTTCCAGGGCCTGTAGCCCTGACTGCTGCAGAAAAGCCTGAGCAGCCTGGGATCAGGAAAAAAACATTCACCATCTAGATCCCTGTACTCTAAGACGGTTCCTACAGCCTCACTGGCTTAGCCCACTTATTTGAAGAGGGTGTGTTCCCAACAAGATGAAGGGAGATACTGACTCGGAGTCTATATAGGCTAGCAAGGCCTAGAAAAGCAACTGTAGTTAGGACTGGAAGGGAAGGGGGGCCATGGTGAGACTGGAAGCTTCATAGCGGGAGGGATTGGGGTCCAAAGCCAGAAACCTGTTACCTCTGGCTGATAAAGGAACAGTAGCTGCAGCAGCTCCAAACTCTGGGCTACTACTTCAGTGTCAGAACAGGCCAGCATTTTCAGCAAGGAGGGGAGCAGGGGTCCTGGCCACAGCCGCTGGCAGTAAGCAGAACCCTTTTCTGCAACATTGCACAAAACTGTGAGCACCTGCAAAAAGACATGTATACAGTCTAAAAGATGAAAGCCAAAGATCATGTTTCCTATAATATATAGAATACTGACCACATACTTGAACATGGTGCCAAGCTTTTTGGTATGCATGTAGGATTACTATCCCGCATTACAAATTATACTGAAGCTTAACGCGATCAGTTGATTTGCCCAAGGAAAATACTGAATAATCTACACTTTAGGGACTCATATCTGTAGAGTGGTCTGACCTTGAAGCTACACCACACCAGTTGCCTGTTCATCTAAGAGTACTGAGGGCCCAGGATTACTTTCCCTGTTTACACTGACCACCAGATCTTATACTGAAGTGACCCCAATACATACCATTAGGCTCACCATATTTGATACTGGTAACAGCTGCAAGAGAGGCTCAATCAGATCCAGGGAGAGTAAGGAGGTACAGAAGCTAGGACTATTTGCTGGAAGGGAAAATGTCAAGGTGAAGTACCATAAGCAGTCCCAACCCCCAATCCTACCCATCTCAGGCTAGGCCATAAGGAAATATTCCCAGTACCTAAAGCTCCAGACCTGGGTAGATTTTAGTGCATACCAGTGAGGTTGTTGAGAAGCCAGAGGCCCTCAGGAAGCAGGCTAGGCTGCTTCTGGAGGAAGAACTGCAGAAGGATAAATAATGCTGCCACAACACGCTCATCCCTGAGCTGTAGCTGGCCTCCCATGTCCTCCACTGCTGCTTCTGTTAGCAGGTTGCTTAGACACCGAAGCACAGGGCATGCCAGCTGTGAAGACAAATTGGGAGGATGGTGTAAAGAAGGGGTTACCTGCACAGAGGAAGGACAAAGTATCAAGAACATCAAAACTTTGACCTGTCCTCTTCACCTACCAGCTCCAGTCCTGCATCCTCAATTTTCTGGACAGCCCCTGCCAAGTCCAATAGCAACAGCCCCAGAGTGGACAGAGCCCCATGGCTGATGATCAGGGAATTGTTGACCTGGCTGGACAACAGGAAGCATTAGTCACTATCCAGTCAATCCCACCTGTAAGTTGAGAAACAGCCTACGTCTGTGGGTCTCCTGGGCTCTAAGGAGAGAGGACCACAGAGGGATGGAACTCATTACAGCAATTCCAGAAACTCAAGTTCAAAGACCTGAGTCTCAATGCTAGGGAAGGTCTGTAGCACTTTCCCAATTGGCCTATGTCACCTGCAGATGATATAGTGAAGACACCAGGCAAACTCCACAGCAACTCCAGGGTTCAGCTTTGGACCAGGTTGCAACAATTGCAGTATGTGTTGAAGGAGACTGGAGCCCAGGATGGAGCTGCAAGCAGAAGCAGGGCTATGAGTAGGAACCGTAAAGATGCCAGGGGTCTTTCCAAACCCTGACAGCAGGTGGGTAGTGTACAAACTCCAAACCCCTCCTAGCCAGACATGTAGTTAAAATGTGCAACAGCTCTGAAAATCAGACTCCATAAAGCATCCAGGAGCTATACCACCAAGCAGGCCACCTCTGGTTGCACATGTGGGGATGATACTCACGGAATGATCTTCTCTGGAGCTTCCTTAGCCTGCAGAAGCTGAGACAAGGCATATCCAAGAGCTTCCAGCACAGCCACATGGGGAGACTAGAAGTAGATAGGGTAGGCAGTCTGACTCTAGAAGGTGAGTCATAAGATCGCCTAAAACTTCCAGCCCCCCTTGGCACAGGGCCTAGGTTGGAGCTACCTAACCAAAGCAGGTGGGGGATGTGGAGACGACTGAGAAGAGGTCTTAAAGGAGGCACTCACCTGGATGCAGGCAGCCAAGGCTGGAACAATGCCCTGTGGCAGGAGCTGCCTTCGCACAGCCTCACTCTCCACGATCAGGTTACCCAGTGTATACAGACACAGTTCCTGAGAACAGACAACAAAAGCACTGGGCTTGGCCTGTCTCATGCCAGGCCCAGGTCAGTTGGGAGGATGGAGCAGGCCTATCCTTGAGAATCACAAGAGGGTGGGGAGATGATGGGTATATACATGGCTGTGGGTACCAGGAAAACAGCTTTTCTTCTTGCCCCTACCAGTCAGAAGGACCCCCCAAAGCACAACTTTAAGCCAAAGCAAGGTGGGAAGGAGCAGGGCTTACTATGAAGTCCGAGCTGTGACCGGAGAGGTAGGTGAGGAGGTAGGAAGTGGCTGGCAGGCAGGCCTCAGCGACCGTTGACTGCTCAGAATGAGAGAGCTCATGCAGACACCGAGCCGCTTCAAGCTGCAGCAGGGCCTGGTTGCTAGTCAGGAGCCCGACCAGGGTTCGCATGCTGCCCTCCAGCCTACATGAATGAGCACCAGAGCCTGGTTCAGCCTGTGACCCATCCCCTCCACTCTCCCGTCCATTCCTCAAATCCACTCACTCACACCACCCACACTGACCGGATGAAGGTTTGCTGCGTCTCAGGGTGCTGCAAGCCTCGGCGAAGACTGACAAGAGCCTGCTCTCGCTCCTTTTCCTCTGTCCCTCTCTGAGCAAGCCGCAGGAACTGATGCACCTGGAGCCAAGGCGGAGGAAACCAGAGTTGCTAGAAGCAAGTTCTGAATCCTGCTTTGCTCATTTTACCTGTGAGCTCTCCAATATCATACTATCCCCAGGATTTGTCATTCACACTGATACAGCTAATATAGTAACACCAATCTTACAGTGGAGCGAACAAAGGAGAGAATGAAACTGGGTCCTAATACCAGTCCTACCACTTAATTCTACATGGAACCTGAATGTAAGTTTCCTAACCTAAAAAACATGAATCCACCCAGCCTTTTTACAAGGTTATTTCAAGGATAACATATAAGACTCACTGCCTGGCAAAACCTACCCAAGGCATTTTCCCCAAGCAATCTACCCTCCAACCACACCTAGCACCACATGAGTTCTTTCCTAATGCTTCCAAGCTTCTGCACAAGCTGTCCCTTCTGCCTGGGGTACCATATCCAGATTCCCACTCTTTAGATGTCTGCTGATCATTGCCTCCAGGAAATTAGCTCTTTTGGCTTCTATGGCAGACTGGAGTTTCCCTTGTGCATCATGTTTCCTTCTATTATGACCTATGTCTCCTTCACTGGGCAGTGAGCACTTCAGAAAAGGGACTCTTTTTATCTTTCATCTTGTGTACCTCACTGCCCAGCACAGTGTCTGACATGAAGTAAACACACACATACAAAGTATAAAAAAGTCAGTTAAGGGGCCAAGGAGTGGCACAGTGGTGACACAACTGGACCCACATGGGAAAGTTCCTGAGTTTGCATCAGAGGACCTCCCTGAGCATACCAGGACCAAGCATGCATGCCTATAATCCCAGCCAGCTGAGACTGAGGGTGAATCATGGGATGAGACCCTGTAAGGGGGTTCCTGTACCCTTGTCTCTCTCTCTGATAGAATAAATAACTTAAGAAAAAGAATAAGTGGGCCAACTGGTGGCCTGGTAGTTAAGATGGCTGGTTCCAATGTGGCCAACTGCATGGTTCAAGTCCTGGACCAAAGAGCTTGAAAAACACACTGGGCACATGTGAATGCCTGCCCAAACTCCAGAAAGGAAAAATGGAGAAGGAATTGCAAGAAGACCTCCCCCATGGAGTATGCCTTCTAACTTTCCATTTCTATCTCTCTCCAGCAAGTGTGCACACCTGTTAGCAAATGTTAAAAAGAGGGACTGGCAGTTGGCATAATGGCTATGTCGTTGGACTCCGATGTAGTAGACCGCGGTTCAAGTCCCAGATCCGGTGGCTTAAACCTCAGTAGACCGCCATGTGCATGCATACCCAAGATCCCAAGAGGAGACTGGAGGAAAAGGGAGTGTGGCGTGGCCATCCCCCCAGGGGGGTGATTTCTCGCTTTCTGTCTCTGTCTCTCTCTGTCTTTCTGGCAAGCACACGAGCCCTGTAGCAAAAACCTCTCAAAAAAAAAAAAAAAGAAAAAGAAAAGAAAAGAAAAAAGGTGAGCTTATAAAGAAAAACAGTAAAGTAAGTATAACCTAAGTGCAAGTGCTTTATAAACTATGGGTAATCACAGGTAATTGAAACACCGGAGCTTGCTAACTGGATGCTTGCTGAATGAATAAATCCTGTCGTTCACTCTATAAATACCTAGCGTCTTCTACTACGTATGACAAACACTGTGTAGGCATCTGGATTTTCAAAGACAAATAAGATAGGGAGGGCTGGCAGGTGGCATGGTGGTTGAGGGCACTGGACTCCCACATGGCTGACCGAGGTTCAGCAAACCTGGCGGCTTGCTCACTTTCTCTTCTCTGTCTGTCTCTGGTCAAAATTGGAAAATAATGATAATAAATAATTCTAAAAAAAAAAAAAGTGTGTGTGTAGGCATCTGGATTTTCAAAGACAAATAAGATAGGGAGGGCTGGCAGGTGGCATGGTGGTTGAGGGCACTGGACTCCCACATGGCTGACCGAGGTTCAGCAAACCTGGCGGCTTGCTCACTTTCTCTTCTCTGTCTGTCTCTGGTCAAAATTGGAAAATAATGATAATAAATAATTCTAAAAAAAAAAAAAGTGTGGGGGGGGACGAGCAGTTAGCATAATGGCTATGTTGTTGGACTCCCACGTAGTTGACTGCGGTTCATGTCCCAGACCCGGTGATCCTGAGAGAAGAATGGAGGAGAAGGGAATGCAGTGTGACCATCCCTGGGGGGCGAGGTTCTTGTCCCAGATCTTGCGGCTTACTTTCTCACTTTCTCTCTCTCCCCCTCTATGGTCACATTTAAATACATAGTTAACTAAAATCATTCTTTTAAATAAATAAATAAATAAATAAAATAGATAGGGCTTGGGTTCCTGTGGGTTTAGTCTAGTTGAAGAGAGAATTATAAACAATTAGATACATAAGTAATATTCTGTAAAACAGAAATGGGCTGTAGAGACAGAATAGTGAAAAGGACCCACTTTAAATGCAGCTAATGCAAAGACTTCGAGACAGGAAAGAACCTGGTATATTGTTCCCAGAATTGGAGAGGTGACAGTGGTGGGATGAGTAAGCTGATAGGGTTGGAGGTGGGCAGAGGTTAGATCATACTGAGGTTTATAGGTTACAGGAAGGATTTTGGTCTCTGTGTGTTGTTAAAAGACTTCCTGAGGGGCGACAAGCACAGATGTGGGGTGACCTTTCAGGAGGTTGCTGTATTTTCCAAAGAAGAGACGGCGGAGACAGCTGCAAAGGTGAGGCATTTTATGTAAAGACTCTAGAGTTCTTCAGTAAGTAAAAATGACTAGGACTTGATGATGGGACTGAGACAAAGTTAGAGAGGGTTACTCCTTGTTACTGGCTTGACCCACTGTATGGATAGAAGTGTAGTGTGCATCACGTCCAGGTTTGGGGCGACTTGGGTACTCGTGGGAATTTGGCCCAAGCAGGCACGACAGCAGCGCGCACCCGGTCCTACGCCCTCACCTCTGCTTCCCCGAGGACCGCGGCCACACGTTCCCCTCCAGTTTCCTCCGGGCCATCTTCTCTGAGTAGCCTCTTGCTGACCAGCTGCTGCTCCCTCCGCGCTTTCCTCAGTGCTGGGGACAGAACAGCCAGTTGAGTGTAGGAGGAGCCAGGACTCAGACCGCGCGACTCTGAGCCGGGCGTCTTCTCAACCTAGCTCCGAACGCCAGACCTCCATCTTCCCGCAATCCCTAGTCCTCCCGCACCTGCCTCCCGCTCCCGCCGGCGGCACCGTAGCTCCTCCACCCCGCAGACCACTGGCCTGAGGAAGCCCTGCCGTCGCCTCCACATGGTGGAGCTCCAGGAAGCTCGCGAGGAGCTCAGCGTTTGCGAATCCTGGGGACGAAGCCTTGGCACCAACAGCTCAGCCTCAGCGGAGGGCGGGACCGGAGGGAGGGAAATAAGAGGGGGCGGGCAGGGCGCACTAAGGGGGCGGGGCGAAGTGACGGGGGTGGAACGAGGTAACCGGCGGAGTGGAGGGTGGATACGTAGGGCAATGGTTAAGAGCCCAGCCAGTCCAAGCCACAGCGTGAAGCTAACGCCAAGCAGCCAGCTGGACTCTAGTTTGTTTCCTTCTCAGTTCTAGGAAGGAAAGTAATTTATCGACATCTAAAAAAGTAGAATTGGGAACCAGCAGATGGCAGGGTGGTTAAAGGCGCTGGATTCCCACAAGTTCGAACACAGTTCGAGTCCCAGTTCCACATGGTTTGCTTTCTCGCTTTCTCTCTCTAGTCATATTAAAATAAATAAATAAAGTTAAATTTTAAAAATTCTAGGGGACCAGCAGTTTCTAGGGGACCAGCAGTTGGCATAATGACTGTGTCGCTGGACTCCCATGTCGTCGACCGTGGTTCGAGTTCTAGACCTGGTGGCTTAAACTCACGCCGGGCGTATATGTGTGCGTGCGTGCCCAAGATCCGAGAGGAAAATGGAGGAGGAGGGATTGCGGTGTAGCCATCTCCCCTGGGGGTGATTTCTCGCTGTCTCTCTGTCTCTCTGTGTCTTTCTGGCACACGCCCTATAGCAAAAAACCTCTCCAGAAAAAAAAATCTTAAAAAAAAAAATTAAATTTACATAAGTGGAGGTAGAGGGATTTGACCAGAGATGGAGGGATGGGGAACTTTAGGAGGTAATGGTCAAATCTGCAAAACCTATCAGGCAGGAGAAATAAGTTCAAGAAATAGTTGAGTGGCCAGCAGGTGGTATAGCGGTTGGGGTGCTGAATTCCCACATAGTCGACCATGGTTTGAATCTCAGCCCTGATGGCATGCTTTCTCACTTTTCCTCTCTCTCTCTCTCTCTCTCTCTCTCTCTCTCTCTTTCTCTCTCTCTGTCCCTGTCTCTTTCTCTCTGGGGAACACACGGGTCCTATGGAAAATTTTTTAAAAATTAAATAACTCAAAGAAAAAAGAAATCTATTGTACAACATGGTGACTGTAGTTAATAACAATATAATACATGTTTGAAAATTGCTAAGACACAGACCAGCCAGTGACATGGTGGCTAAGACAGCTGGATCCCACATGGCAGATAGCGCAGCTGAGTCCCAGACTGGCAGTTTGAAAAACACACCAGACACATGTATGTGTCTCCATGCCCAAAATCCCCAAAGGGAAATAGAGGAAAAGGGATTACAGTGTGGCCAACCTTCCCTGCCAGGGGAGGGGTTGGGATTCTCATTTTCCCTCTCTCTCTCTCTCCAGTGAGCACACATGCCCTATATCAGACTAAAACAGAAGAAGAAAAAATGGCTAGACAATAGATTTTAAATATGCTCACCATAAAAAGGTGATAAGTATGTGAGATAATGTGTATATTAATGAGCTTGATTTATCCATTTCATAATGTATACTAATATCAAAACACCAAGCTGGGGCACCAGCAGATGACATAATGGTTACATCACTGGACTCCCACATAGTTAACTGCAGTTCGAGTCCCAGACCCGGTGGCTTACAACTTATGTTAGGCGTGTGAGTGTGTGCATGCCGAAAATCCCAAGAAGAGAATGGAGGAAAATGAACTGTGACATGATCATCTCCCGAGGATGATTTCTCACTTTCTGTCTCTCTCTCTGTCTCTCTGGTGAGTACATGTGCCTTATAGCAAAAATCTAAATAAATAAATAGAGGCCAGCAGGTGACATAGTGGTTAAGGTGCAAGACTCCCACATGGCCAGCCATGGCCATCGTTCAAGTCCCAGACCTGGCAGCTTTCTCTCTCTCTCTCTCTCTCTCTCTCTCTCAAGTGAGTGCACATGTTGTATAGCGAACTAAGAAATAATAAATAAAAATGAGATAAGTAATTGTTTTCCAAACATAAATAAATAAACAAATAGAAGGTAGGGCAATGGGGGAAAAGAAAAAGAAAAAATAAGTAACCTATCCCTGACCTCTGCCACCACAAGCCAGCAGGGTCAGCCTTAACTCAGCAAACACAACCTCCCAGCCCCAATACACTCTAGACAAACACTCAAGGACCAGCCCTGTGTTCTAGTGCTTTAGAGAGCTGGATGCCACATGGTCCACTGTGAGGTCTGACAGGGTCTGGCAGCTTGAAAAATCCTCTGGGCACATGTGTATGCAAGGCCCAAAATCTGGACAGGCTGGAGAAATGGAGGAGAAGGAACTGAAGGATAATCATGTCCCATGGGGGATATTTCTTCCCTCTCCCTGACTCTCTCTGGCAAGTGCATGTACTCTCTGGCAAATAGAATAGAATAAAATAAATCATTCAAAACAACCCCAACAGAGTGGGTATGGTATGGTGGCATGTCTCTGCAGTCCTAGCTACTTAGGAGACTGAGGCAGGAGGGTGGCAAGTTCAAGGTCAGCCTGGGCAACATATTGATCTTGTCTCTTAAAAAATTCAAAACCAAAAACCAGCCCTGAGCTCAAGGAAGAGCTGCAATGCTATTTCACCCACCAATCATGTTGCACCCCCATGAGCGCTGCCTAAACCTTGAAGAATGACCTCTTTGAATGTTAGCCACAATGACCATTACCCCCATTTTATGGGTGAGGAAGATGGAGCAAATAAAATTATTTCACTGCTTTGCATAAAAGTGAGTTCTCATTATTAGTTCTAAGTTTATTTCTTCCATTGGGGTGAGGGAGCCGGGAGCAACCCTGGTTGGGATTCCACAAAACATCCACATAATTATCTGAGGATATTCAAGAGCTAGGATTTAGGTGATAGGTTAATAGTGACCAAGAATTTTTTTTTTTTTGGAGAGGTTTTTGCTATAGGGCACGTGCGCTCGCCAGAAAGACAGAGAGAGACAGAGAGACAGAAAGTGAGAAATCCCCCCCCCCAAGGGGGATGGCCACCCCGCAATCCCTTCTCCTCCATTCTCCTGTCAGGATCTTGGGCACGCCCACACACACGCCCAGCGTGAGTTGAAGCCACCGGGTCCAGGACATGAACCGCAGTGGACTACGTGGGAGTCCAGTGACATAGCCATTACACTAACTGCTGGTCCCAATAGTGACCAAGATTAAGGAAGTTCTCTGGAATAGTGAGACCAGAGCCGGAACACTGACCTAAGGCATTGAGTATAACTCTCTATAACCACCACTTGGGGTGTCTGCATTCATCCAGGCACGTTTTGAGGGTCTGTGTCATCAGGGCAAGGTCTGGGACAGAGCACGCTAGATGCCCTGGGGGATACTTCCTGTTGTGGCCCCTCTCCCTGAGACAGTCTTCATTGCAATAGTTCCCAGCATGGAAGTGAAGGGGGTAGCTGGGAGGAAGAGAGGTGTGTGTGTGTTGGACGGGGGGTGGGTGGGTGGATGACTAGGGTTCATAGAGGAGGGTACAGAGTTACATCCCAGGATTACATAAACTCTTAGAGGCTGCCAAGTCTGGCTATTTGTCTTCATGCCAGGATCTACTGTCATCAGCCAGTTCTGCACACGCGTGTACAGCGATCTCAGGACAGAAATCTGGGAACTTCCAATATTGCTTCAGCATTGCCCCATGTTGCACTGACCGGAACTGTTACCACTGTGCCACCATGGCTGGCCAAGTTCCCGTTTCTAGGATAAATGATTTTTTTCACCAACTGCTGCATGTCACTACTCTACTAGACACTACAGAAGCAATGGTGAAGACAAAGACTCATTCCTCAATCTCAGTATTCAAATTGTGGGGCAAACAGGTGGCGTCATGGTTAAGTGGTTAAGGCAGCTAGATCCCCTAGGGCTGACTGGGTGGTTTGAGTCCCAGATCCAGCCGCTTGGAAAAAACAACAACAACAAATGTTTGCGTGGGTGTGCCCAAAATCTGAGAGAAGAATGAAGAAGAAGGGATTGTAGAGTGGCCAACACCCCTGGGGAGTACTTTCTCACTTTCCCTCTCTAATTTTTTTAAAGAATTATTTTATTTATGGGACTAGCAGGTGGCATAATAGTTACATCGCTGAACTCCCATGTAGTCGACGACAGTTCGAGGCCAGGACCCAGAGTATTGAAAATCACACCATGCGTGCGACCAGCAGTTAGCATAATGGCTATGTCTCTGGACTCCCATGTAGTCGACTGTGGCTCAAGTCCTGGACTTGGTGGCTTAAACTCACGTCGGGCACGTGTCTGTGCATGCCCAAGATCCCAAGAGGAGAATGGAGGAGAAGGGATAGCGGTGTGGCCATTCCCCCTGGGGGGTGATTTCTCGCTTTCTGTCTCTCTGTCTCTCTCTGTCTTTCTGGCAAGTGCATGCATCCTATAGCAAAAACCTCTAAAAAAAAAAAATAAAAATCACACCAGGCATGTGTGTGTGTGCATGCCCAAAATCCCGAGAAAAGACTGGAGGAGAATGGATTGTGGTGTGGCCACCACCCTTGGGGGATGATTTCTCACTTTCTGCCTCTGTTTCTTCGGCGAGTGCACGTGCCCTATAGTAAAAATATTTCTAAAAAAAAAATAAATTTCAAAAAAAGAATTATGTTATTTATTTATTTATAATTAATTTGGTCAGAGAGGGACAGAGAGAGAGAAAGAGATAGCGAGAAAGCAAACCACCAGGTCCAGGACTCAAACCACAGTCGGCTGTGTGGGAGTCCAACATCCTTAACCACCATGCCACTTGCCAGTTCCCCTCTCTAATTTTTAGAAAACTATTACTTAGTTTACTTAGTCAAAGGTACAGATGAGGGACCAGCAAGTAATATGGTGGTTAAGGTCTCAGGACTCCCACATGGCCAACTGTAGTCTGAGTCCTGGACCTGATGGCCTGCTTTCTCCCTTTCTAAAATATTTTTTTAAGAATTATTTTATTTAACTTTATGTATGTATGTATTTTAATTTGAACATAGAGGGACAGAGAGACAAAGAGAGAAAGCGAGAAAGCAAGTCACCAGGTCCAAGACTTGAACTGCAGTGACTTGAACTGCCGTCAGCCACATGGGAGTCCAGCACCTTAACC